CCGCAATGGCTTTCGACCACGTCTCGGCCGGTACAGTGTGGCTCAGCTTGTAACCGCGATTGTCGTTAGACGGCGACGCGTTGGACGCCGTGTCCTGCATCTCTTCCACACTGCTCCCGTTGTTGCTGACTGCGTATTGAATCCGGGGAAGCATCGAGTTGATATCAGTTCCTAGGACAGGACCGATGTGGCCGTCGCGGTCTCTCGGACTGTTGCTGGGGCCAGTCGTGCCATTCTCACTGCCGCTGGTCCCGTTGGATCGCATCTCCACGTGGTCCATCGGCGAGTCTCTAATGGGCATCGACCCCGCTGAACGTCTATGGTTGCCCACAAGGATGGTACGACGTTGTTGCTGCTGTAGATACTGTCGGTGGCGCTGGCTGAAGCTGTGTCGCAACTGAACTTGGCGCTGGAGCTCACTGTCAAATGGCATACGAGGGCCCGACGGGGACATGGAGTACATAACCCCGTGAGCTGGGTCCGAAGAGACGGAGCTGCATCTGCCTTTGCTCGCATCTTTCTCTTCGTCGTTGTTGTTGCCGCTGCTCAGGCTGCTGCCTGTAATCTGTGCTGAGCTGGTGCTCCAGCTGCTGTTATTTTTTTCATTGATATTGTTTCTGGTGCTGCTTGTATTGGCTGTAGGCTTGACTGTAGCGGTGTTGCTAGATCTCCGGCCGTGGGCTACTGGTAGTGCGGAGAGAAGTGGAGACACTTCGAGCCGCTCGGGTAGCCTAAATGTTGTTGCCGTCTTGTCTCCACTACTGCTATTGGTCGCCGCATCAAAAGCAAAGCTGTTAAAGTGGACGAATCCGTGTGCACGCTTAAACCCGATTACCCATCGGGACGGCGGGAAGTCAGGTGGGAGCGGCACGGCGCCGCCTTGACCGGCCACTGCACGCACTACCAGCCGCACGTCGTCGGACGTGATGTGCTTCTGTCGGCGATATTGCTCATTGAGCGCGCGCAGTACCTCCTTCTCGTCCGCGTCGCTCAAATAGCGGCGCACGGATTGATCCGCCACCTCGAAGCTACCGCTCATCTTCAGCCGACTAGTGGGTTCTGAATGTTCACCACACAATATTAATGGTTGTACATGAGGTAGTTCAGGTAGGACGAAAGTAGGACGAACAAATTGCTAAAAGTTAGCGCAAAAACGAAACATTTTTAAATTAGAGCAAACTTTAATTTTTAGTTTTTTTTAGATAATAGTCGGCTTCAAAAGTTGGTACAAACAAAAACTCTAAATGTCTATTTAGTCTCGCCATTTTGGCAGTCGTAGTCATCGACTACTGAACATTTTAGCGCTAGTAAGGTTCAAATACGTGCATGCCACTTCTCATTACAATGATGAGCTTAGAAAATGTATTGAACCAGAGTTGTTGCACCGTGCAAAGCGACAGCACCCCCAAACGTCAAGGCTCCCCAAAATAGGGAATATAAAGGAGATGTAAAGCCTGACTCACAAACCGCCGCCCTTGCTGCTCGTCTTGCTGCCTGCCAGCAATTACTGACCGTGCTTTTTCAGCAAATGGATGCGACCGCTCGATGATCGAATCGATCACAGCGAACAGCGCCGAATTCTGAGATGCCACCCCCTCACTCAGATTTGAAACGTCTGGAAAGATGCCTCGCTTGAGGCACGGGTGAGTATATCTGGGCCACAACGTATCTGTTAGTGACAGCGTATTGAGTCGTTGGCGCAACGACTTGTTGCGCAGATATCTGAGCTTAGCGTCGCACTGGTAAGCAACAAAGACACGCATCTTACATTTGCACTCAGTATGTTGTACTGAACCCAAATTTCAAAATATATCTTTCATTGTCAAAAACTCGAAAACAGGCCGACCAAAATAAAACAAAAGTGTGCGGTGACCTTCATTTCGAGACAGTCGAGTGAGACTTTACACCTCTGATTTCTAAACCTCATCATATGAGCCTCCAGCGTCGAGGTTTGTCCTCCGCCGCTCCAGGTGGGTCCGTCCGCCGGTACCTAAGCGAAGCGGACGAGAAGGAGGCACTACGCATGCTCAAGGAGAAATTACGCCGCCAGAAGCGCATCACGTCCGACGACGTGCGGCTGGCAGTGCGCTCAGTGGCCGGTCAAGACGGCGCCGTACCGCTCCCACCCGACTTTCCTCCGTCGGGCTGGGTGATCGAATTCAAGCGCGTGCATGGCTTCATACATTTCAACAGCTTCACTTTCGGTGCGGCGGCCAGCAGCAGCAGTAGCGGCAAGACGGCGGCAGCGTTTGGGCAACCCGAACGGCTCGAAGTCCCTCCGCTTTGTTCCTTAGTAGCTGCAGCCGACAATCGCAACTCCATTACAGTTACAGCTACTGGTAGAAAAAATATTAATGGGAAAAGTAACATTAGCTCGAGTATCGTCCTGGCACAAGTCACGGGCAGCAGCAGCGACGATGAGAAGGATACGAGCAAAGGCAGATGCAGCTCGGGCTCTTCGGATCCAGCTCAAGGGGTCATATACCCCATTTCCATTTCGGGTCCTCGTATGCCATTTGACAGCGAGATCCAGCGCCAAATTCAGCTGCGACACAGCTTCAACCAGCGCCACCGACAGTATCTACAGCAGCAACAACGTCGTGCCATCCTTGTGGGCAACTATAGACGTTCAGCGGGGTCGATGCCCATTAGAGACTCGCCAATGGACCACGTGGAGATGCGATCCAGCGGGACCAGCGGCAGTGAGAATGGCACGACTGGCCCCAGCAACAGTCCGAGAGATGATGATGACGTCGGACCTGTCCGCAGCAGTGATACCAGCTCGATGCTTCCCCGGATTCAATACGCAGTCAGCAACAACGGGAGCAGTGTGGAAGAGATGCAGGACACGGCGTCCAACGCGTCGTCGTCTAACGACAATCGCGGTTACAAGCTGAGCCACACTGTACCGGCCGAGACGTGGTCGAAAGCTATTGCAGCTGTTGAGCAGCAGGGAATGAGTCTACGCGCGGCCGCCAAGTTATACGGTGTTCACTTCGCGGCACTACATCGACGTGTTAAGAAGCGTGCACAAGCTATGCACGCAAAAGGCACCGATGGGTATTTCCACCCAAGTGACGAGGCTGGAATCATGCGCGTCGTTGTGGCTCGTGCCGAGCTGGGTGTGCTGATGACATTCGATGAGTTGATGCGGTTGGTGGAGGCCGCGGCGTTGCGAAAGCTACCGGACATCTCGATGGATTCGGCACGGAAGCTGTTAACCCGCTTTCAGTCTCGCAATGAGCAGTCGATCCGGCACATTATCGATGACTGGCCTCCACCTCGACCAGCAGTCAGTGCGTCATCAACCTCAGCAGAACATAAACGACCCCAGCACCAGCCATACTTGGAACACCCAGGGTTCAACTTTGGACGGAAGCCTCCAGTTGCCCTTCGATCTCCATCGGTGGGGACTTCTAGTCGAGCAGCAAGTGTAGCCGCTATGGCTGCTGCAAAGACGACTCTATTCGTCCCTCCCAGTCGTTTAGATCCTCCACCGTTGAGTGTTGGGAGTCGAACGGATGAGACGAGGAGATCCAGAATGCGATTGATGAACGGCAAAGGTTCCATGACAGTGGACACTGGTTTGTTGTCGGGTAAACCGAACGACCAGATGCTATATATGAGCCCTCGAGCGCGCTCAGAAAGAGACAGCGACGCTGTGATGGTTGTATAAATGGAGGAAGGAGTTATGTGGCGTGTATTGATCAGCATGAAGTGGACACTTATTAGCATTAAATGCCCGCATTTATTACGAACAAAACTGCGAATGAAGGCAATAAAAACAGTCAGTTCTTATGTCAGCAGCTGTACTAGTACCCTGGTCTTTGGTGCAGCCGCCATCGCGACAGCTACAGAATTTCGCTCGCCCTCGGCACACCTGCATGCGCCAACAATGGACAAAACTTCAACTTATTCCTTGAAGTGGTTCAACCTATCCAATGTCATATTAAAACCTCTATCATGCAATACGCTATCGTAACGCATAATAAATAAGATAATGCAGGTTTCGTTGTCCCCTTCATCGCAAAAGGATCCAATTCCCCAGTTCCAGAGGCGGCAGACGACAATGACGGACTTCATCGCCAAGGAACAGGCCGCGTACCCGGACATCGCACAGCGCTATCAGAAGCTCAAGGACCTGCACGTCCGCAAGTGCGTCTCTCTTCTCCTGCATTATATCCACAGGAACCTGCTAAAAGAATTCTACTTTCTCAACTAACAAAATGCTGCGTATATTCTCACAGACTTTACCATGAACTAACGGGCGAACTCGAAGCCTTTGTGCGTGACCCCATGTGCCACAAGCATCCGCAGAACCTGACCAGGCTGTACCAGGAGTTTATTCGCCCCTTTCAGGACAAACTCAACCAGATCCGCCTTGTGGTCATCTGCACCGAGATCAGCACGCAGTTCGCAGACCCTGCGAAGGCTCAGGAGTTCATGGAGCAACTCCTAGGCCAGCTGAGCACTAAGACGGCGCACGAGGCTGTTCTGCTGTGCAAGATGCAGATCGCACAGCTCAAGTTCCGTCGTGGCGCCGACTTTTTAGCCGAAGTGAAGGCTACAGTGGACGACGACAAGCAGGTGATCGAAGGCCTTGTGGGTGCGGAGCCAGTAGTTCATGCAGCCTACTACCGTGTGGCCTGTGACTACTATGGAGCACTGGGACCTGCCGATAAGTTTTACAAGAACGCGCTCATGTTCCTCGCCTACACGCAATACGATGAGATGCGTCCCAACGAACGCTTCGACCTAGCCGTAAACATCAGCATTGCTGCGCTCACTGGTGACGGCGTCTTTAACTTCGGTGAAGTGGTAAGGCAACACTGTTAAGATGATATTCTGGATGATAATATTGACATTTTAATTCTATTTTTCCAGTTGGCGACCCCGATCCTGCGCGCGCTGGAGGGCACGGACAAGCAGTGGCTCTCGGACCTACTGCACGCGTTCAATAAGGGCGATATTGACCGGTTTAACGAGATCGTGGGGCAGAACAGCAAGGAGTTTAACGCGCAGCCGGCGCTGGTGAGCAAGCAGGAGTACGTGAAGGAGAAGGTGGCTCTGCTGGCCTTGATGGTGCTAGTGTTCCAGCGTCCGTCGCATGAGCGCAACATCCCGTTCCATGAGATCGCAGAGGCTACGCGTCTGCCGTTGGAGCAGGTGGAATGGCTCGTGATGCGCGCGCTGTCGTGCAAGCTCATCAAGGGATCCATCGACCAGGTGGACGGCATCGTACGGGTTACGTGGGTGCAGCCACGTGTGCTGGACAACTCGCAGCTGCAGGAGCTCGTGACGCGTCTGGATGGCTGGGAGAAGAAGGTCAACTCAACGTTGCTGTATGTGGAGGAACAGACCCCCGAGCTATTCCAGTAGGCAGCCAGCCACTCTTAACTGCCTTTACAGTTGAATCAACAGCAAAACTAATGTCAAGGGTGGGAAAATGATACGATATACGGCTTGTTTGTGTGTTTTGTACAGGCCGAAGCTCAGATTATCAGTCATACCATCGACACCTCTGTTTGCTGTAGATAATTGGCGACTGTGTGGGCGCTTGGACTGTCATGGGACGTTGAAAGCCTTTTAGTCGTTCCTCAGACTTATCTGACCACCACGGCGTTCGGTACAACTGCGTAGGAATAATTAGTATTCATGAATATGGGCAAAAGAGCAGCTAAAACTGCTGGAACGAACCGGACTTGATCCTTGAACCGCCAATTTGAACGTGCTTCGAGCAGCAGCGTTATCCTTGATTTGCTCGGCGAGTTTCTAACATGACACAGATCAGTTGCTTGATGTGAATGCCAACAATAATTGTGACCTCGTGGTATGTTTCAATGTGATGCTTCCGTTGCCTATCGCGGTCCTCGCAGCTTTTGTCAAGACGCTCCTGCTCCTGTACGATATTTTCTCGTGCAGCCAGCTGCTGTTTGCGTTGTTCTTTAGCAGTGACAAGGTTTCGCTGGATCTGTTCATGATGCGATTTCTTCAACTGCTGCAATGATATTTTCTTTTGTTCAGATTGCAGCTTCAGTGGAAAGGTAAGAAATACATGTAGTTATGTTTCTGTTAATGACTCCATCGTCTAACGAAAACGTACCTCTTCCTGTTGTATCGTCTTGAGTCTGGTTTGGAGCTCCTTTTCTTTTTTTTTTCCAGTCATTTCCAACAAGTCATCCTGTCGGCAAAAGGCCGGAGGTTATTCAATACATCGAGGAACCATCCATGGATCGAATTCTTACTTGAATCAATTTCAACTCGTCATCGTCTACGTGGCCCCGAAAATGCAGCAGGGAAAATTCAAGGAGCGCCTGGCGTTGGGCCTCAAACAACTACATGTGCCACAATACTGAAGTAAAGCAGGTAGTGATGAAATGTAGCCAACAACTGCAAAGCTCTCCCACCTGAATGGCTTCGCGGACTGGCATGGAGTCAAGACGGTCGAAAAAACTTTGCGAAGACGCACCAACGGTAGCACGTCTTCGTGTAATTTCCAGCTGCCGAGCATACTTCTTTCGTGCTGCATCACGCGTATGGTCGACGTCACGGTTCACAACAGCTTCTCGCACTAATGAATCACGAGAGGATTTTATAGGTCTGAAACAATTCAGGAAGTGAAGAAGTTAGTGACCTGCTAAAGGTGATCAAAGTCTGCAGCGTACGTGAAGAAGCCTCGATCACGCTGTTGTGTCAGCGGACGACTACTGTTTGTTTTAGCTTGGAAAGTCTTGCTCACTTTGGTGGTATTTGGTGGTGACATCTCCAGTAGCTCCGTTGTAGCTGCCCCGTATTCAGGTGAAGACAATAAAACAAATGACCGATCTGCACCCACCCGTCGCGTGATTTTCAGCGGAGAAAGCTGTGGCGCTTGCTCAGCAAGTGGCTCTAATGATACATCGAGATTGAGGTCAGCGAACATGGCGCTTTTGATGGAGTTGAGACTTGGTAGCGGCGAAAGACTCCTAGCGCCACATAATACCGGAATCGGAGGTCCGAGATGCCTGTAGAAACGTAGGGTCAGAGTTGTACAACAAACGCCGCAACTGAACCGTGGTTTACCTGTCTGAAGACGCGTACGAGGATACTTTTTCGCGTTCGTGGTTCAAAAGTTGGGTTAACCGCTTGCGGCGGAGATCACCTGGCTTCCTCTTGCTGCCGATTTGCCTCGACACGGGACCCATAGCGTGAAGGCGAGCGTATGGAAGCTGCAAAACCTGTGGACGTCTTGGATCCGATAGGTCTTGTATTTTTAGCTCGTTGTTTCAACAGGTTTACGAGTGAGTTTGGCTTTGTATTGATTTGGAGATTGTTTCTGTTAGCTACGCAGAAAACTCACTGCAGTACAAAGATCTATGGTTTGCATTCCCTTCCGATGAGAAATGCAGGTTAGACTTGATCTCGTCGCGGTTCGCTTCGGTCATCGGGCCAGGGGGAGTAAGGTGCACGTCTGCGTACTCCCCGAACGACTTGAAACTGGTTGCGTGACATCAGTGTTTGGGTGTCCTTGGAAACAAAATGCTACCATCGCTGCGTTCGCGGAGGCGGCTGGGGACGAGTGCATTCGATCTAACTCCTTCGATCAGAGTCCAATCGAATGGGATAACGGGGTATTAGTTGAAAGATTCTTGGTGCGTGGTTGCGTGCATGGCCAAGCTCCCAAGTGGAGGATGAATTCTTGATCATCTGCTCGATCGTTTGCTAGATGCACTGACTTCGATCACCAGTGCTGCGATCAACCAGATACTGAGTCAATAGTCGAAGATGGAGTAGTTTACTGCATCAGTTTGAGTGAGAAGTGAAGCGTCTTCTCAACGCTAGGGGGTGGCTGCATCTTCATGTCAAAAGTTGAATCAACCTCTTGTGGTATGTTCTGGTGCTTGAGAGAAGGAAGAGGAGATCACTGACAAGTTGAAGACCGTCGACTCAAAGTCGACTAGCAGCCGGCGAATCCGACCCCGAGCGAGGGGCGTGAGGGGGACAGCGGCGACATGAAGAACACGGGCATGTGGTGGTCGATAACCGGCTGTGCAGGAGTGGGGGCTTTCATTCTGGCGAGACGAGACGCCAACGTACTGCCGTTGGGCGAAGTGAGTTCGCCGGAAGGGAACGCCGAGTTGTCGCTACCGCAGAAGAAGAGGAACTGCGGACGCTCGTTGGTGGAGCTGTGGCGGCTGCTGCGACGAGCCTCGAAGGCAGCCGAGTTGTTCACCGTCGTCATTTTCTCGAACTGCTCGAGTGTGAGCACGCGGAAGCTGCCGGTCGTGTTAGTAGCCGTAGAGGCTTTGGCCGCAGAATCAGCAGAACGACGGAAGAGGCCGCCGAGGCCGATGGCACGCATGAAGGCTCGCATGATAGTTACTGGGGCTTGCTGGTATTGGTACGTTACTGCGGAACGTTTGATTCGAGTCACGCGAGTCGAATTGGGGAATGACACCAAGCTGGACTTGCGGGGGCATTGCCATCAGGTTCGAGCCTGGAAGCCACCATGGTCGGTGAGCCAGAAAAGCTGCGGAGACCTGATCGCTCGCTTCAACCAAGTGTTACAGCTGGCCAGACGTGTAAAGGACCAGGTTGCACGCCGTTCCAAGTCTCATGTCCCGTTCAAATTTTATTTGCTCACAAAAACAGAGATAATGGGGCTCATGTTTGGACACAACACTCATTCTTATTACTCCAATCCAAGACACATGCCCAGGCGGAACGAGGCATTTCATTCGTGACGGTAAAATCCAGCGTGTTTGCCTGGCGTAGGCTACGCCGTAGCTGCCGTGGCGGTCGCCTGGTATCCAAATAGCGCGCATTTGCATCGACGACCAAGTATTCCAATAATTGGTTTCTCGGCTGCGTGGGGCTCCGATCCGCTGTGTCCCCACTCGGAGCGTTGTGATGGTCAGTTGTGAAATGTTACGGTCATTGCGTGTACTACACGTTCTTCTAACAACTTGACACTGCCAAGTTGGCAGCCATGCTGACGAACCACGCAAGTTGCGACTATCCTCTGTCAAAAGCGCCAATGCTAGAAAATTAGGCGGGTGCAGCAAGAAAAACTCATTCTAAAGGCTGTATTACGCCCCAAACAGGGGCGCTATAGATAATGGGGGACGTGGAGATACACGCATGCTTACATATATCGACGCTGCTCATCTGGAGTAGCGCATACTGTAGTAACCTGTACTGCGTCGCGATGTTCGCTGTTCAGATATTTTGAAGAGGTGCGGGGAGTAGATCGGTGCTGACATTGGAGACTGTAGTGGTGTATCTCTTGGCGAGAAGAAGCACGGCATCTCGTGGTTAATTCGTGGTGACTCAATCGACGCCGCTGGGCTCATGGGTTCCACGTAATTGGAGATCATATCGCTGCGATATCCGTTCGAGTAAAGTCCTCCTGCTGACGTGGGCGTGGGGGGATCGCTGCCGCCGTAGAACAAGAACTGCACCTGCCTCTCATCCTCCTCCTCATACGAGTAATTGGATGGCGAGTCCGAGTTTGATCCCGACCTCGATCCTGAAGAAGACAGTGTCTTCGATTGATGCTCTCTGGTGCCTACCTGACTGCTCGCGAATGGGGGAAGCGACGATGGAGGGCGGGACGGAGTGATGTTGTACTTGACGTCGTGCTCCCAGCGGTTGAACATCTGCGGAGACCTGCGGACACCGGGCGACGTCTTGCGGTAGTAGTCTGGGTCTAGTACATCGCAGCAGCTTGTGCAGTCCTCAAAAGGTCGACACACGAAGTCCCAAACGCTATGGAAGAAATCGGACAGTCCCATTGTTGATCGTCAGAAGTCTCTGTTGCAGTCGTTCCTGTTTCCTGTATAGCGAGCGCGATTCGACCTGTAGTTGCGCTAAAGCGTCTTCCACTGCTAAAGCACTTGATAGATAATGGCGGTGAAGAGGAGGGCTAGTGAATTGATCAGCGCTGGTGGCGAGTACGTCCGTCAACGGCCGCGTCTTTTCTGACTGTGCGAGGAGGGACCTTTGTGTCGCCACCCGATAGAGCACACAGCTCAGAGATATTCCCCCCTCCACACATGCGCTGCATACTGCGGCGCGGCACAGCGCATGCGTGGTCATAAAAGACCCGTTGGAACATCTCGTTTGTCTGAATACTTTTGTGCGAATAGCCGTTGTGTGTACGATTGTAAGAGTGCAGGCTACTTGCACAATTCAAAGTGCTGACTACTTGCATATGGCAGTCACTATGTTGGCAAAAATGCTTGCACCTTGGAGCACTACAGTCACTACAAGAAGTATTGTTGGCTCTCGGTAGCCCGCGCGTGGATTTCAAGCGCTGCTGCTTCGGTGTGTAGTGAAACTAATGGGTGGAGAATGGATATGAGCCGGTTGGCATCGTCGTGTTGGTGTCGCATCTTAACTCAAGCCAAAATTCTTGAGCAGCAGGCTTGGAATATCGCACGATGGGGCCATATGGGAGTCTGACTCAGCAACCACATTTAATGTGGCTTCAACTATACCGTGGTTTGCACTGGTTTACCTAGAAGGCGATACGGCTAGGGGAGCCACAAGAAAGAGCAACAGCGTCAAGGAATCCGCTCGCGAGGCGAAAAGCTGCTTTTGAATAAGACTGTGCGCGTAGCGTCGATGCATCGTGCAGATAGCAGAGAGCATCAACGGACGCTCACAGCAACTCAGAAATGGCAGACAAACCAACAGTGAATCCACAGGCTCGTAAAGTCCTTCGAGAGAGCAAAGCTGGATTATTCCTCTACGCATTTTCATCACTTCGTGTCTCCTCTTACATTAAATTGGCTGGATTCGTGACCATATCAACTACGCGAGCACCCATCCAAAAGCAATCGTGAGGCAAGTCCGTTGGTGTCTGTGGTGTCTGTATTTCCGAAACTTACTCTGCTTTCTCCCCTCTATCGATATGCTAACGCTACTGCTACTTCTTACACCAAAAAATAGTTAAAAATCATCCATCGCCAACCCGTCAGACTTGATCCTTCCCATAAGATTAAAACTCGTACTCTTTCGGGTCCGGCAGGATGCTGCTGCGGCGCATATGCTCCACCAAAGGCGGTGAGAAGAAGAGCGGCATCTTAGCTTGAAGCGACGGACGGATATCATTCTCATGCAGATCATCCAGTTCCGACGGCCTCAGCTCCGGCTGGAACGTGCTGTCGACGTCGCTGCCTCCGAAGAAGAGGAAGGAGACACGTTGAGGTTCCGCTCCCGACTCGTCGCTCGAGTCGGCCATCAGCAGCTCTGACGGGTCGGTGGGCGACTGCTTGGTCTTGTTGAAAGACAAGGGGCTGGCTTTCTTCTCCGTCGTGGGGTGCTCAACTGTAGCTTTCTTCACTTTCTTGGCCGGCGGCTCATCCGGGTGGGGCGAGGAGGCCGCCGACTCGTTCTCCTGGATGGGGGCGGTCTCGGGGGCCGCCACGGCCGCTACTTCGAGCGGCGCTTCTGGGAACGACCCGCGATGCGAGTGAGACCAGCGTGACCAGCGCGATGTGCGGCGTTGCGAGGCCTCACTGTCGCTAGGCTCCATCGCGTCGTCCACGTCGCTGGCTTTGCGCTTAAAGAGGCCGCCGATAGCGCGCATAATGCCGCGGGTCTTGCGTTTGGTGGGCGGTTCTGCAGCCGCGGCGTGGACAGGTCCGGGAGCCGGCTGCTCCTTCGCGGGCGCAGCCTCGGGTGCCGACTGCGGGGGGAAGTTCGGCACCGGCGGGGGCGGCGCACGCGGACGCGCCGGCGCCGGGGACGGAGCGGATTGGGACTCCGTTGCGGGCATCAGAGAAGAGCTCAGCTGTCGCGGGGAACTCGGAGAATGAGGGAGCGCGAGGAAACATGGGTTCGTGTCTGGTTGTATCATTGCAGCTTTTTTGCTGTTTTGCACCGTTTCTGTATGCCGCATGTCGCTTTTGCTCCCGTTCAGGTGTTGATAGAAGCACAACGTGGATTGAAGGGAGATGGTAGTTACTTTGTCGAATAGATGCGGTACAATGAATTGATCAACTACTTCATGAGCGCGAAAGACAGAGCCTTTTGAATATACTGCCATGCGCTGGAATGTTGCAATCTTTCAAGCATAAAACATCAATTCGCGATCTGATTTCGGATCCAAGCGCTCATTGCCAACCTTGTCAAGGGCACTTCGAGCAGTACCCAGCGTCTCGGCGTTCGTTGACGCCGTTGCAAGTTGTTTTCGCGGCACCGAGCATAGAAGATGTGCTTTTCGTCGCCATCGTTGGGCATTCAAACTTTTGAACAAAGCCCCAACGCGAGGTGCCAGCAGAGCTGTCTCGTTATTCCGTCGCTTGGCGTGTGTGGCTTGTGCTGCCTCGGATGCAGGCTAACGATGGGGAATCGCGCTGCCGTCACTTCCGTGCTGTGGCAGGTCGGAACATCAGCCCTTGCAGAAAGTCGGCGATACTTAAACATGGACGCTTGGATTGTACACTGTACGCGAGGCCACGAAATTCGTTTGGTCGATGCTCAAGAAAGCGCAAAGCAGAGCTGTCCAAGGCAACGTTGGACGTACGCAGCGCACCAAATGTTACTAGTACTAGATGGTAGCATGCTTACTGCAGTCTGCAACACTCTGGACAGCACTGCTTTACATTCCGTCGGTCTAGTGTATGCCTAAACAATAATCCACTACACTGTTGTGTCTAGCAAGTCCTCCTGGAAATCTCGTGAACCAAATTGAAGTGCATCTCTACAGTCGTATATCGCCTAGCAACCAATCATCGTTCAGTGTAGCCATTGACTAATTTGCCTCATTGCACTGTAGTAAACCTCATCACCACTACCTTCGGCGGAAGAATGCTTCCTCTAAGCTTAACAATAAAATCGATGTATTTGAATCAGCCTGGTTATCCTCAAAAGCGTGGCACGAATAGCGGTGGCATGTTGGACACCAATGTCGATTTTACGGGGACAGTCGTTGTGAAAGACGGCGTCGCACTGTACCGCGCCAGTCGGGCTTTCGATCGAGCCCGCCGGTGTCTTACATCCAGGCTGTTGTCATCTGGGCAGCCCGTGAAGAACAAGAACTCCATGGGCGCAGTATCCGCCAATTTGTCGTCTACTACAGGCATGCTCTCATCGCTCACCCGGCCCATGGACGATGAACGCATAGCCCAGATCTCTGCCAAGATCTCCTGGTCTGACATGACACTGCAATCGCTCACGGTGGTAGTAGATAGCAAAGCGATTCGGTTGCAGCTGCCACCTCTTTCTCTCACTGACCTGTCGGACTTTTTGGCGAGTTTCTGCATCTTGCGAGCTTCTTTTCGCTCTTGTTTGACCGCACGTTCCAATGCCTTGCGGAGTTTCTTCTGCTCCTTCTTGGCAACCTCGACAGGGCCTTGTGCTCGAAACGAGCGCAAAGAGTTCATCAACCCGCGGTGATCCGGACACGCAGCGCTGCCCTTCACGTAGAATGACGAAGAGATCGATCGATTGCTGCGAATATCGAACTCGACGGACGTGGCCTCCATATATGGTATGTGTACAACACCTTTCACGGTTGAAACTTCCTGTACGCGCCGCGATGATCGGCTCCGCATAATTCGCCGCTGTTCTCTTTCGCCGCGACGGTGGCGTCGTCCGAGCGAGCTAAGGCTAAAGAATCGAGCGAGACTGAAGAGAGGCATTCCCGCCTTCGTCTATGCGGTATCCGGTGATTTTGGTTGTGATCCCGTTGCTCGCACCGAGAAGCTATTTAGCCAATTCCACTAACTGTGTTCACCACCATTGACTTCTGCATTGGCGGCTGTCCATCGGACGTCTCACGGATTCATGGATAGGACACTGAGTTGTGGTCGAGCAGCTCGATGTGTGTTTTTGCAGTCATGCGACGTTTTGTAGGGTTCTCCAGCCGTCTTCTCAAAAAATGTTATCAGATAGGTAATAGCTTAGTTTGCGGGTAGTAGCAGCTCCATATGTGTATCATGGCACGCGAAAAGAATCGCTTTATTTGTGAATTTATAAGCCGCAACCATTCCTATGTTGAAGACACCAACCAATTATAAAGCATGTTCCCTAGTTTGTAGCTTTTCAAGTGATATGAGCGCACCGAACAGCATTCGGCAGGTGATCTTATGCATGTCAGAACCCACATCCGAGCCAGCTGAAAACTCTCACGCTGTTTTCCAGTCGAGTTTGTTCACATGCAACCTTGGCCCAGAACTTGGATAAATGGCTGCATACACTGATCCGACAAGAATCACGAATAGAGTTTATTTCATTTTTAAGCAATCGATCTTCGCGATAAAATGCTACACGCTGAGAGGGTGTTGCAGGTGTTGGTCTGCCAGGAAGTCGTTCAGCAGCTTTGAAACGATCTCGAATCGCCCGCATGGGGTACATCCTGAGCGATATGAAATGTCTTTGGCCGCACGAAGTAGCAGGTTCATGAACATCTCCAGGCGGTGCTCACGGTTGCGCACCAAGTAGTCGTGCAAGCCCGTAGCGATTGTTATGCTGTTGCTTGGAAAGCGCGGTGGAAACACGCTCGAGTGGACGAGCTCCCGTACACGAGAGCAATATGGGCACCACCGCGCGTGGCTCTTGTCTTTGGGAATATTCACCGCTTCGCTGATGCATTCGCGTAGCGTACGGAACGCCGAATAACGATGCTCCACTGAGTAGTCTGGACTCCGGTCATCTGTCGTACACTTGTTCTTCTTCGCGATACCTTTCGGCGTTGATTGCAAGAAGACTTCTAACGCATACGCCGTCACGTGCCCTCCTTCCTTGGCTTTACACATTTTCACATGATGGATGCTGTTCAGCACAACGGCTACCTTGGCACGAGACAATTGGGAAAGCTGCAAGTCTTTGATCAGACTAGAGCCCTCGCTGGTACGCTCAGTGTCCGTATCACTAGTGCTGGTGGAAAAGTCGAAATCGTTGTAGTTATCACGGGGCATGACTTCGTCTTGACGTCTATTTCGACTTGTTTATCACCAAGGTGGTAATTTTTGTTGTGTTTAAAGTCTGACAGCCAGACTCTCTCATCGGCGCCAATCTACGCTATACATGTACTAGACGACTGGAGTCGGGAGTCATCATTGATGATGATGAAAATTCAAGGTTGAACCAGTCGATGTAAGACTAAAATTTAATGTTGACACTTTTGGTGGCGTGGCTCATCGTCGGTAGTGTAGAAGGGATCAGTGAAGGGCAATATTCCATAATGATATTAATGAAGTCTGAACTTGTAGAAAAATGAATAATGCCATTATTTTGCATTATGTTAATGCGTACAGGCATTCTACGATCCAATCGATTCAACTGTGTACACATCCCACAAGTACATGAGCAACATTAGCATCTCCAGCGTTGACGGATATTTGTCACGATGGTCAAATTCAAGCTCAGACAACACGGCCGACATGCCCGGTGACTCACTGGCGGTGAGGACGTGATTGTGTGGTCGCATGATTATGAAGATGATTATGAAGTGCCTTTGCTTACGGGGCAGTTTATGAAGTTGCTTGCTGACGCAGCACAAGTCTCCGGTGCACTAGGAGCCCCCTAGTGCTTTACATGTACCAGGACTAGTTGGTGGTCCTGCTTTGTTTTGCTCATTACTAAATTAGCTTCTTCGACACAATTCGGGTATCGCGATAAAATTTTAGCTTCCGTAGGTCCGAATAAGCAACCTTTACCGACGCGAAGAACGGTTCACACTCGTTGGACGTCGGTAAGTGAGCGCTACATCCTCACAAAGTAAGTTTGAACGGTACAATGAGCACTAGGCAACTGGAAAGTCGTAGAAGGGCGCATACGGAAGCCTTGATTGGTCAAATTCACGAGCACTGTTAAACGAAAAAGCTTTGTTATGAGGCTGTGCTGGAAATTTGGTTTTACATGTTAGGGTGACTCCACCGGTATTTGGATATACTTTAATGTTATTAAATAACTAAACGTATTGTGCTTTGCTAGACTTTTCGGGATTTTCGAGTGTAATTAGTACGACATATCCAGTGCGAATTATCTTTAAATCGTACTGGAGTACGATTTCTTACAATCGTACATCGTCTTACTGGCACCAAGTAGTGCGGTCAAGTATTGCACGTTCGACTTAGCTCATCGAATACGAATAAGCATCGGTTTGACACTTTCTAATAATCCCATTTTCCGCTAAACCGTACTGAAAACACGATTTGAGCAACATTCTTTCAAAGATTCCATGGCATACCGCTAACTACGGACTCTAATTAGTGCACTAATTAGTAGAGCAAACTGGAGGAAAAACACAATAAAATGTTTCCGGACTGAATTCGTGCAGGAGAGCTTCATTCGTACGACCAGAAAGTACGGGTTTTGAGCAGATTTGGTCAGAAGACCGGTTTTTCTTCTAGTGTGGACTCTGACCAAAGATTTCCATTTTGTATAAAAGATGGTGAAAAAACGCAAAGAAAATTGTTGACAAAAAATAAATATTTGAATATTGTAAATGCAATTTATTTTTTCGCCTTATTATTTTTTCCGGATCCCTGCGAAGGATATCAATGATGTGTGTTTGTACGGTGTCGATTCTCGCCAAGTGTAAAGCTACACGCACTATGTGTATCTCCATAGCAAGGCACCCAATTTGCTGCCGCGGGTGCACGCCTGAAGTCGCAAATAAAGTCAATACCAGTAACGAAAAAGGTTCCTCAAACATATCCGCTTCAATCAGTATTTTACTTGCTGGCGGCGAGTGAATCCCATTGCAAAAGACAGTCTAGTTGCCGCATCGCCGGCATTGCTGCAAAATCCATCGCCGCAATATCCAGCCAGCAACACGCATCAATTTATTCGGACATACGGCTGCATTATCGAATTACCTGAAACACGGCATCAAACCGTCATTTGCTTTTACATGCACTGCACCTGGTGCAGTGAACGCTGTCGCTGACGGCCAATCATCAATTATGATCGGATCCACTTCAACGTGAGCTGTGCATCAAAGCCTACAGAACCAACGTGCCCGAATTCTCTTCTTTACCCGCAGCGTGCCCAGCCAGATCTACTCGAGGAAGAACCGCCAGCGAGTTGCTGACGCTGCACAAAGTTTAGTCCAATTCGCAACGTCAACGTCTGGCGAGGAAGTGCGTATCTACATCCATACGGGCCACGGGCTGCTCAGAAAGAAGCGCCTGCAATTTGAGCGAGAGATGAAAATGTCCTGTGTACCAGGTGGAGCACCGATATTCGGAATTCCGCGAGCTGCGGAGGCGCATCATGAAGACCGTTAGAGCGCGAGGAGGCAGATATCACCAGCACTGCTCGTACTGCAGCCGCGTCAAGTTCATCGACTCGTCGACCAGCTTCCCACCTCGCGTGCCGAACCGCGGACTCATGGCAACATGCACAGGCTGGCGCCAGATCTGCACGCACTTCCGCAAGCGACAACTCGAAAGCTTCGTGAACCAGTTGCTCAAGGCAGCAAAAGATCTGTCGTACCGCACAGGAAGAGGGCAGTGCGAGCGGTTCCTCGTGGTCTCACAGATCCTCAGCTCGTTTCTGTCGGCGCCAAGTATGCTGGCAACGGAGAGCGTCTGGTAATCCAATTGTTGGATTCCAATATGCGTTTCTGCTGACGGTTGCCTGTTGCCACGTTACAGCAAGTGATCAACTCTTAAGTAGTCTTATTGGTCTTCGCTGGTATGTCAGGGAGAGATAGGAAAGCAGGTCCATGCTGATTAATATAATGCTGTTCGTCACGCGTCGCGTTCATCATGAATCCATTTGCTCTACAGCGGGTGAAGTTCTTCACATTTTGAAAAGCTTCGCAGTCGATACTGCTCAGACCGCAAAGGTGTGTGCAGATCGATTGTGTCTGTTATCCGCCGCGACAGTCATTGGTTGTTCTAGAACGTTAGGAGTCGATGCACAACAAATGTGGACGCGTCCGAGCCCTTTGAGCAGCGTATGTGCGACGCGCCAGTATCGGTGGTACGAGAGATGCCATGGCGATTTGTACCGCGATGCACTGTATGCGCTCACGACATAGCAGCTCTTGTCGCAAGTAGACGAGCACGAATCATAGAGACCCACGCCCGATCTAGCGACGCCGGTCCTCATGGCATGAGGTCATGTCTGCAATACGTTGGGGGTACGAGTCGTACCTTACGACGGGTTACGCTCGCCCGGCGCTGCACCGTAAAGTTGAACCCATGTCGAAGTTATGGTTCCTTCAAGCTGGAGGACCTGCTGCACTCCACACTGTTGACGGCAGCGAGCTGGTCGGTGACGGTTCGAGTCATACCTTGGTGAGCTACTGTTGTTGCCACCCTCGAGCCTGGAGGGCACATCGCCTAGTAGGCAAAGCCTACCTTTACAGTCACTTTCGGGTGATAGCATCGTTTGAGAGAAAATGGCTTCGCTTTTCATTACGAAAACCGATCTTGAACCGGTATTGCACCTCTAAAAAACTATCAGACCCGATGTGGCAACCATCTTCACCCCATACTCCCACTTCGCCCACTACAGTAAACATTTCTGCGTCTTTTTTCCACCCCTTCAAGATCACCGACAAAATAAATCGCCAGCCAAAAAGGCAGCAGTGATGCTGGAGCCGAGCCACAAACGAACACGCAGCTTCGAGCGAAGGTGTCTGACTCACAAGGATTGACTGCCAACAAATCGAAGAATGGTGCCCACCACGAGCGACTTGGACGAGATGGATGCCGTCACGGACTCGGCGAGCGATCGCTCTAGCCTCGACGCACTGGAACTGGGTGCGCGGCTGTCACAGCTATCCCGCGCCAAGGTGGCCGTGGCGCTCAACAGTGTTCACCACGTGCAGATGTGCACGAGTTACGACCGAGAGGAGCACGTGACGGTGTACGTGCTGGACGTGTTCCTGCAGTCGGCGCCGAGAGGTCTGCCGAGCTGCATCGCGACGACGTCGGCGTCAACAACTCAGCACAGGCACAAGGAGAGCAAGCGCGAACGCAGGCGGCGCGAGCTGCGCGAGAAGGATGAGCTTCGCGCAGACTACCAGGTGGAGCACCGCTACTCGACGTTCCGTGCGCTACGCGAGCGCATCGGCGAAGTTGTGGCGGCGCCCAAGGACAAGTCACATCCGCAGTGGTGTCCGTATTGCACGCGTGTGCGGGAACTCGTGAACTCGGGCGTGTTTCCGTCGCGGTTCCCGAATGGCAGTGTAGCTACCGTCATAGGCTTACACAAGCTGCTCGTGCGCAACCGTGAGGATCGGCTGGAGTCGTTCGTGAACTTGCTGCTACGCGCCGCCAAGGACGTGTCTTATCGCTCCGGGTGCAATCCATGCGGCCGGTTCGAGGTAGTGTCGACGCTACTAAGCGACTTCCTGACGGAGCCGCACCTGCGGACAGCGGGCAGCGCGTGGTGACGGAGACATCCAGCTAGACCAAGGGGTCGGAACGATCCCGGAGAGCCAGCCGACCAGCGAGGAAGCGTGGTTGGCAGCGGCGCAGTAGATTAGACACGGATTTGGTGCATCGGTTGGGTGTAGTGGCGTATAACTTGGCGTAAACGAACGTGCAGCGCGCGCCTGGGTATTCACAGAGTTTTTCACAGAGTTTTTGAGTTGTTCGTTTTGGCGTGTTTGCGGTCGTTGTTGCAGCCGAGTTGAGGATGCACTATTTTTTTGTGCCGTCGGGATCAGCATGGAGTAATCTCGCCAGGTTTCTTCTCACAACCGAAAAGGACGGTGGATCCGCTACAATACATGTACTGACGCACTGGAAATCTAGCATGCCCAATCTGTACTTGCAGGACACAGCACAAAATTGGGCAGTGATGAATTTTATAAAAGTAGAGATGCAAACGTGCAGTATCCCATCATTGTGAGTGAGACGGCGGTAAAACTTTTATGTGAATATCCAGGCGCGCGCTGCACGTTCGTTTACGCCAAGTTATACGCCACTACACCCAACCGATGCACCAAATCCGTGTCTAATCTACTGCGCCGCTGCCAACCACGCTTCCTCGCTGGTCGGCTGGCTCTCCGGGATCGTTCCGACCCCTTGGTCTAGCTGGATGTCTCCGTCACCACGCGCTGCCCGCTGTCCGCAGGTGCGGCTCCGTCAGGAAGTCGCTTAGTAGCGTCGACACTACCTCGAACCGGCCGCATGGATTGCACCCGGAGCGATAAGACACGTCCTTGGCGGCGCGTAGCAGCAAGTTCACGAACGACTCCAGCCGATCCTCACGGTTGCGCACGAGCAGCTTGTGTAAGCCTATGACGGTAGCTACACTGCCATTCGGGAACCGCGACGGAAACACGCCCGAGTTCACGAGTTCCCGCACACGCGTGCAATACGGACACCACTGCGGATGTGACTTGTCCTTGGGCGCCACCACAACTTCGCCGATGCGCTCGCGTAGCGCACGGAACGTCGAGTAGCGGTGCTCCACCTGGTAGTCTGCGCGAAGCTCATCCTTCTCGCGCAGCTCGCGCCGCCTGCGTTCGCGCTTGCTCTCCTTGTGCCTGTGCTGAGTTGTTGACGCCGACGTCGTCGCGATGCAGCTCGGCAGACCTCTCGGCGCCGACTGCAGGAACACGTCCAGCACGTACACCGTCACGTGCTCCTCTCGGTCGTAACTCGTGCACATCTGCACGTGGTGAACACTGTTGAGCGCCACGGCCACCTTGGCGCGGGATAGCTGTGACAGCCGCGCACCCAGCTCCAGTGCGTCGAGGCTAGAGCGATCGCTCGCCGAGTCCGTGACGGCATCCATCTCGTCCAAGTCGCTCGTGGTGGGCACCATTCTTCGATTTGTTGGCAGTCAATCCTTGTGAGTCAGACACCTTCGCTCGAAGCTGCGTGTTCGTTTGTGGCTCGGCTCCAGCCGCACTTGCATCACTGCTGCCTTTTTGGCTGGCGATTTATTTTGTCGGTGATCTTGAAGGGGTGGAAAAAAGACGCAGAAATGTTTACTGTAGTGGGCGAAGTGGGAGTATGGGGTGAAGATGGTTGCCACATCGGGTCTGATAGTTTTTTAGAGGTGCAATACCGGTTCAAGATCGGTTTTCGTAATGAAAAGCGAAGCCATTTTCTCTCAAACGATGCTATCACCCGAAAGTGACTGTAAAGGTAGGCTTTGCCTACTAGGCGATGTGCCCTCCAGGCTCGAGGGTGGCAACAACAGTAGCTCACCAAGGTATGACTCGAACCGTCACCGACCAGCTCGCTGCCGTCAACAGTGTGGAGTGCAGCAGGTCCTCCAGCTTGAAGGAACCATAACTTCGACATGGGTTCAACTTTACGGTGCAGCGCCGGGCGAGCGTAACCCGTCGTAAGGTACGACTCGTACCCCCAACGTATTGCAGACATGACCTCATGCCATGAGGACCGGCGTCGCTAGATCGGGCGTGGGTCTCTATGATTCGTGCTCGTCTACTTGCGACAAGAGCTGCTATGTCGTGAGCGCATACAGTGCATCGCGGTACAAATCGCCATGGCATCTCTCGTACCACCGATACTGGCGCGTCGCACATACGCTGCTCAAAGGGCTCGGACGCGTCCACATTTGTTATGCATCGACTCCTAACGTTCTAGAACAACCAATGACTGTCGCGGCGGATAACAGACACAATCGATCTGCACACACCTTTGCGGTCTGAGCAGTATCGACTGCGAAGCTTTTCAAAATGTGAAGAACTTCACCCGCTGTAGAGCAAATGGATTCGTGATGAACGCGACGCGTGACGAACAGCATTATATTAATCAGCATGGACCTGCTTTCCTATCCCTCCCTGACATACCAGCGAAGACCAATAAGACTACTTAAGAGTTGATCACTTGCTGTAACGTGGCAACAGGCAACCGTCAGCAGAAACGCATATTGGAATCCAACAATTGGATTACCACACGCTCTCCGTTGCCAGCATACTTGGCGCCGACAGAAACGAGCTGAGGATCTGTGAGACCACGAGGAACCGCTCGCACTGCCCTCTTCCTGTGCGGTACGACAGATCTTTTGCTGCCTTGAGCAACTGGTTCACGAAGCTTTCGAGTTGCCGCTTGCGGAAGTGCGTGCAGATCTGGCGCCAGCCTGTGCATGTTGCCATGAGTCCGCGGTTCGGCACGCGAGGTGGGAAGCTGGTCGACGAGTCGATGAACTTGACGCGGCTGCAGTACGAGCAGTGCTGGTGATATCTGCCTCCTCGCGCTCTAACGGTCTCCATGATGCGCCTCCTCAGCTCGCGGAATTCCGAATATCGGTGCTCCACCTGGTACAGGGGGCATTCCATCTCTCGTTCGAGTCGCAGACGCTTCTTTCGCTGGCCTTCGGACTCACCAAGGCCGGGCGGTGGTGGAAGACCCTTTTGCACGAAGCGCAGGTAGACGTTCAAGACGTAGACGGTAGCACCATCCTTGGTCTCGTTGTTGGTGGCACAGATTTTGATGTGGTGGATCTGGTTAAGCTTCATAGAGAACTTGGACATGGCAGAGAGGTGCGAGAGGCGGCCAAGACCACTTGGCCACTGCTCGCCTAGCTCGTCACTGTCTTCAGGCGAGCTGGCCGTGGTGATCTGGCTAGGTATGCTGCTACACCTTTGGAGTTCGGAGACATCGCTGTCGCTGGTAGTTGGCCTGGGTCTCATGTTGGTTGGTTTTACTTTGGCAAAGGAAATTCTGATGTGATTCGCAACTTTCTTCGGGAGTGCAGTCGGTTGTACGCTACAGAAAGGCCCAAGTTGAAGATGGTTAGCCAATGATGTGACGGTATATCGTCGGTATATCGGTGGACAGACGGTTTCATGGGATGACAAGAAGCAGAATTAACGTTCGTTTACACCGAAGCTGAAGGTTGGTTGTTGGCATGAGGTGCTATTGGCAACTCGTGAATCGTTGCGTGTTGGTTAATGAGGGAAGCTCATGTTTGAAAGGAAGTGCAAATCGTTCTAACGGTGCGTCACGGCGGGTGTTCATCACCACAGCGAGTTGATGGCGGTGCATACATGTATCACCTTCGTCTCTCGCACATACCGCGGAAACTTCAAAATGCTGAGCAAAATGAGCGAGTTCATCGACTGCTGATGGAGAAGACCGCACGCGCGTGGCAGAGGACGGACGCCAAGCTGTGATGTGATGAACACCATCAGTAGCGAACTACAGTAACAAGTAATAGTTCACCTGAGACATAGCAAATAATTGAGTGTCATTGAGCTTATGCGGTGGCCAAATGTGGTATGCAAATATTATCTTGCTTCGATAGCAACATCCGATACTTTTGCATCCTCACGCTGTGAGAGGAAGCTGTTCAAAATCTGCGAAACGACCAGGAACCGGCCGCAATGGCTGGTAGCGCTGGTACGGTACGACATATCCTTCGAAGCCTTGAGAAGCTGGTTCATGAAGCGCTCGAGGCGGTGTTTCCGGATCCGCGTCAGCAATTGCCGCCAGCCTGCCGCGAGAGGGCCGCGGTTCGGGACTCGAGGCGGGAAACCCGCGGCAGACTCGATGATGCCAACGCGACTACAGTACGCGCAGAAGCGGAAATGGTCGTGATCATTTACCACATCCGAAATGCTCTTGACCATAGCACGAAAGTCGGAATATCGGTGCTCGACCTGGTAGTCTGGTGTTAGTCCCTTGTACTCCCGCCGTAGGCGGCGACGACGTTGGTCTAGTGTCTCCACAGTGGGCAAACCTTTTTGCGTTGTGCGTAGGAACACATTGACGACATAGATTGTGGCGTCTTCGCTCTCGTAAGTACTGCTGATCTCGACGCTGTAGATCTCGTTGAGCGACATGGCTGACTTGGCAATCGTAGACAGCTGCGAGAGTCGGCGGAAAGAGCTCAGCTCATGCGAAGATTCATCGAGGCTCTCGGAATCAACACTGGCATCGCGTTTGGGTGGAAGGTGTAGGCTCATTATAATGATCGATCAGTGCAACGTGAGTGGTCCAGCGCGGGTTTGCAAATGGCTGTCATTCTCGTTAGTTGAAGCCAACACAAATAAGGAGTTGTATAGATATAGAGACTGGTATAAGAGCATCTTTGTGCTAAGTTTGTTGCTCTTACAAGCTGCATAAGTGTGACTGCTTTTAGTAGAGCAGGCTGTAGAGATGTCATTTGGTGTGTGGGCCACATGATGGGTGCTCGCACTGTCGCATGATTACGATGGCAACGCCCTGTCGCTCTGATCAAGACGTTCTTGACAAGAACACTCAACTCACTTGATCACCTCGACGTATCGAGGAGTGGCTTAATCGCCCTGGGACTAACATAATGACCAGCAGGTTGTCGACATGGAGGTGCCGCGCTGTAGCAGACACCCCGGCAGTGCAGTATCCGCCCTATTGTTCAACGCCACCGACGTGCTTCAAAGACATCGCCGGCTCTCACTTTCCCGTTGGAGTCATCACTTGCGCTTATTCTGATTGTGGCTTTGACTCGACAGGAGTTCGCTTGGCGCATGCCACTTCACAGCCACTCGATACAGTATATAGCCGACTTGCGCTGACCTGCTGCGCTTATGCCACCGAGGAGAAATGGTGACGGCGCCCTCGTCGTAGAATACCCCCTTGTACTTCTCGCTCCTGACAAGTTCATCTTAACCCTTGCTGCATTTTGCCAGTTACCTAAATGTGATGCTTTTTGTGTACTATCAGAACTGATGACTAGTTGGCAAAATTTAGCTAGCAGCAGCTCAGCGCTGTCCAGCCCCCTGCAGTTCGTAAGTGTGGATCGGCAAAGAAATCGTTCAAAATCCCCGACACAGTCGCGTAGCGTTCACACTGACTTGCGCTGTAGCGATACGACACGTCTTTCGCCGCCGTCAGCAGCTCATTGATAAATTTCTCCAAGCCATGCTTCCTCGAATGAATGAGCAGCTGTCGCCAGCCAGTGTAGGTTGCCAGAGCGCCTCCGTTAGGATAGCGCGACGGAAAGTCTCGAGCTGTGACCAGCCACAACACACGACTGCAGTAGGGGCAACATTGCGGATGGTTTTGGTCCACATCGGGCGGAGTGGCGCTTACCACGTCTAGAATTCGTTGTCGAAGCAACCTGAAGGCCGAGTAGCGATGTTCCACTTGGTATTCGGGACGCTCGCTCTGCTTCTCACGCTTCTGGCGCCACGTAAGTTTGTGCCAGCTCTGTACTGAGGTCGAGGGCAAACCCTTTTGTACTCCCATTAGGAAGACGTCCACAACGTAGACGACTACGATGGCACCGTGCTCCTCACGGTTATACGCTTCTCGGATGACCACGTGGCTAATTTGGTTCAGCGAGACGGCAAACTTGGCACTGTTCGAGAGTTTTGAAAGACGTTGGCCCAGGGCTGCATCGAGACTGCGTCGATCTGTGTCGTCGCTGTCGGAGGAATCGCTTCCTTCGCTCTCGGGTCTCATCTTGGTGCTCCACAGCTCTCCTGATAATGGGAGTGAGCCAGGCGGAAGTCGGATTTATGCTCGACTTTTGACCAATACCGACGAGCTTCAATCCAGGTTTACGTAAGAAAAAAAGTATAGGTTTTGCTTTTCGGTCCAAAACCGGTATATTTCGACGATTGGAATAAGCGTAATCAGTTTACTCCGCGAGTGTTGGTCTTGCTTCGAGATCAACACTCACCAGATAAAACATCGCGATGGCGACAAAGCTTTGACAAATATTGTGCTTTTACACTTACAGTGTTTGCAGCTGCAACCGCGTTTGAGCCCGTCTTCTTTGATTCAAGTGTCTACTGCAAGCGATCAACCCAATTTTCTTCATAGAGACGCCGCACAGGCGATGGCTCCATTGCATTCGATTTTGTCTCAAGGCAGTACATGTACGCAACATGAGAATTATGATTATTATTGTAGTCTGAAGTCAAATGCTGACGGTAGTAATCCGTGTCTATCCTGCTGCCGGAGTCAACACTCCCGACCACGACAGTGTTTGCCCGTTTGGCTCCAAAAGGAAGGCTTGTAGTAGCTGCGAGACAGTGACGAAGCGTTGGCACTGTGTGTTCCCGTAGCGATAAGACTCGTCCTTGGCGGCAGTCAGCAGCTCGTTTATAAAATGCTCCAGCTTGTGTCTGCGGCTGTGCGTCAACAAGCGATGCCATCCAGTGTAGGTCGCAACAACTCCTCGGTTGGGGAAGCGCGATGGGAAGCCGCCGAACGTCATTAGCCACAGCACGCGGTTGCAGTACGAGCACCACACTGGGTGCATTTGGTCGTCCTTGACATCCACCACTTCGCATATCTTCTCGCGCAGCGCGCGGAAGTCCGAATAGCGGTGCTGCACTTGACACTCTGGCCTCTCCGCGTCCTGCTCGTGTAGCAGTCGCCGCTTGCGTGCGCGCACACTTTCACTTGAGTTGGAAGAGGGCAGACCCTTCTGCGATCGCTGCAAATATACGTCCACCACGTACATGGTGGCGCCGTCGTGCTCGGGGCTGTCGTACATGCCGCGGATAGCTACACGCTGGATCTGGTTGAGACTCACGGCGAATTTGGTGCTATCTGAGAACTGCGAGAGGCGGCGCCCTAACTCCATGTTCAGACTGTGGCGAGACTCGCCGTCCAGGTCGTCGGATATGGCCATGTGGGTTGATTCCACGTTGTTGCTCTTGTTACAAACTTGTTGGCCAAACGCAAATTCAAATTGTGAGGCGTTGAAGCTGACGCACTTCGCCAAGCGAAAAAAAGGCGATACTGTTTTGAGACCGGTATCGTTAGGCTATCCTGCGACAGCAGCCAATCATAGCGTGGTATAGTTAAACCTGTAGGAGACGCTAGCACACTTTCCAGCATGCGCAACTCCAAGTATTTTGGCAATGGTGCGGACCCGCGACGGCCACCTCGGCGATCCTCAAGTGATGACCATGATAGAGCGCAGCGCTCCGTCTTAACCTCACTACGGTCCCGCAAACGCAAGCAGCGAGAAGTCAGTACAGAGGAAACTACAGCCTCGACCCCGCCACAACCATCTCTAACGTCCATGGAGAAGCAGGTCGTGGGACTGCGAAAGGCGTACCCAGATACGCTGCTGCTGTTCGAATGTGGCTATCGCATGCGCATTTTTGGCAAAGATGCCGAGGTATCTACAGTCATTAGTGATACGAATCTCATGGTTCAAATAAATGTTATTATTTTCTTTTCAGAATGCTGCTGCTGTGCTGGACATTCGAGCTCAGCAGCATAAAAACTTCTTGGAGGCGTCGGTGCCTGTGCATCGGACGCTGTTTCACGCTCGACGCTTGGTTCATGCGGGATTTAAAGTTGGCGTTGTGAAGCAGGTGGACTCGGTCGCTATGAGAGCAGCTAACAAAGCTCCGGGTGCTCAACGCAAACCTCTTGAACGGTAATGATGGCGAAAATCCATTTATTTCTTAAGTAACAGCTAATGAGATGTGGTGGATTGCAGATGCGTGAGCGAAATTTACACTCGAGCTACGATTCCAGAGGTGGAGGACAATGGAGATGATAGCGACGAAGAAGACACAAGAGCGCGGTTTATTGCCTGTGTTGTGGAAGAAACGATACATGCGAAACCTTTCTTTTCGCAGTCAATGCACGAGGTTGATGAAGACACGAAAAGAACCCAGGTGCGTGATACATGTATACTCTGATGTATCGATATGAGTTTGAGCTTGTGGTTAAATAACACACATATAGGCCTTCTCAGAAGATGTTCGTATTGGAGTTTTCATGCACGACGTTCATACAGGAGAGACCAAGTTTGACGAATTCGAAGATGGTGCGAAGAAATAAGCGTTTGCTTCGCCGGTATCGTAGCTGATATGGTTTTGTGGTATTAACTATTCAGATGGAAAACGACAACGCTTACAGCGGACGTTAGAAATGCTTGATCCAGTGGAATTCGTTCTACCATCAGGTCGCCTCAGTGCGTACACTGAGCAAGTACTGGAGAGCTTTGTGGTAACTCAAAGTGACCCAGTTACCTTCTCAAGCGAGACCTCTACTATAACCGATCTGAAACCCTGTATTCGAGTGGAAAGGATACCTAACAAGTATTTCGACTACTCGGTTGCTAAGGAGACTTTCACGCGCGTTTTTCATGAAGCTGAGGCGGAGTACACTAGTGCTGTTGTCTACCCAAGTCTGCCGAAATTGTGCGTATCCTGCTTTGGAGGAATGTGGCAATATCTCTCTTCACTCGACGTTGTGAAGACGCTCATTGCACCCAACTACACCAGCTTATCCAGTCCAACGTCGACGTTTTTGGGACTATTTCACCTTCCAACCGAAGCGCATCGAGATCTCGATCTATTCGTCAACTCGGTAAGGCTACTCTATTCTACACGCTGAATTGTATGAAATTCTAACAAGATTTTTGTTGTTGTTGTAGACTACTAAGCGCGGCGTTGGCTCGCTCTTGTCGATACTAAACCACACTAAAACCAATGGTGGTGCAAGGAAACTCCGTGATTGGATCCATTCTCCATTAGTCGATATACAAGAGATCATGGCACGTCAAAAGACGATCGAGCGTTTGGCGTTCCCACCTGGATCGCTATCAACGGAATCCCTACCGCACCGACTGGCATACGAGGAGCTGACGACGGCCATTTTACCTCGCAGCAAGCATCTGCTGAAATACCTACAGCAAGTTCATTTAGGAAAGGCAACACCCAGTCAAGCCGTCGGTGCGCTTCAGATTCTGAAGGATCTCGAGGGGCATATCAACGGACTCAAAGCAATGTTCTCGTCCGCTACAATTGAAGACCAATCCACTCTGGAAAAGCTTTTAGAGGGCTATCCAGCGCTACAAGCTCGTCTTACGCCTCTTCTTGACGAGGTGGATGTCAAACGTGCAAGGCAAAATGACGTCGAGAATACCATTCAGAGGCTTCTGTGCAGACACCCATCGCAAGCTCGAAAGTATCGAGAGTTGACGCGAGAGCTCGAGACTCTCGCTCGAGAATACGACGCGATGTTGGTGACTTGCAGAAGTATTCTCAAGGACCCGTTGCTAGAGTTCACTACGTTCAGAGGAGGCTCGTTGAGCGACATTCACCACCTGATCGAAGTGAAGCGTACAGATCTGCACGAGGTGCCTCAAACATGGCTGGTAGTGAACTCCACCAAGAAGATCGTCCGATTTCACCCGAGACAGATCATCCAGCTTCACGTACAAGAAGAGTTTGTGAAAGAACAGAAAGAACAACTGGTTCGAGCATTATGGAGACGATTTGTCAATCAGGTGGACGCTCAAGTGTACGTGACTGGAATGGCCTGTGTGGACATTCTAGCGAACCTTGATGCGCTGTGCTCACTCGCTACGGTGGCTCAGAGTTATCCTAACTACACTAAGCCTCAGTTTGTGGATGGTAACAGCATATTGGAGATCATCGATGGACGTCATCCGATTATTGAAATGTTGTTAGACGGATCGTCCTACATCAGCAATTCTGTCCTGCTGTCAAGTAGTCTTGGGTCTTTGATGGTTGTATCGGGTCCCAACATGGGAGGCAAGACCAGTCTGCTTCGCATGTGTGCGCTTGTGGTGATCCTCGCTCAAATTGGGTCTTTTGTTCCCGCGTCAAGTGTGCGGTTATCCGTGTTCGACGGGGTCTACACGCTCATGCATCGCAGCACTATTAATTGTGGTTCGTCATGCTCGTCAGAGCTAACAGCATTGGGTACGATCTCGCGCAATGCTACGAAGAGGTCACTTGTTCTTATCGACGAAATCGGCTTTGGAATGGCAGCTCAGTACGCTGAAGCTGTGGCTGTGGCTCAGATGATGTACCTTAGTAAGACTGTCGGATGCCTTGTAGTGTTTGCCACGCATCTTACTGCAGCGATTCACAAGTTGCAAGCTCTTTTAGGCGATAAATGCCAGACAAAACAATTGGAGTATCACTTCTACGAACAGGACGAGGCAGACGCGAACGTGGAGGTTGAAGACGTGGTGACATTCCATTACGTGTTGAAAGACGGAGTAGCGAGTGACAGCGTCGCTATTGAGACGGCAAGGCGTGCTGGCATCGCGTCTGCTATACTAGAGCGTGCTAAGGAGCTGCAAGGTGACCTATAACATAATAGACTTAGTCACAGTTCAGCACCACGCGGCCTCGCAGCTTGCCGGCGTGCATTCGCTCGAAGACGTCCGGTAGATTTTTCAGCGGTTCGACAGTGTACGAGCTCTTGACTAGACCGTCGGCAGCGAGATCGATGGCCTCGATTGCGTCTTGACGGCTGCCCACGTAGGAGCCGACGATGCGGAATTCCAGCGGGATCAACGGCTCAACAGGAGCCACGACGGCCGTGTCTTTGGGGACACCCACCGCAACCAGAGTGCCGCGAGGACGTAGGAACATGAGCGGGTCCTTGTATGCATCCTTGGAACCAGCAACGACAATAACCGCGTGACCACCGCGGCCACCCGTAGCAGCACGGACCTGTTCGATGACGTTTCCGTCGTTAAAGTCGATAAAGTCCTTGATGCCGTACGATTCAATTAGCTTGCGCTTGTCATCACCAGAGTCGATAGCCACCACCTTGTAGCCCATAGCACGTGCATACTGACAAGCCAAGTGACCCAGACCGCCGCCGGCTCCCGGAATCACCACGTACTCACCCGGCGACCCGCCGATCTGCTTCAGTGCCTTGTACACCGTCATACCGGCGCACAGGATAGGGGCGGCTGATGCCAGATCCAGAGTCTTCGGGATTGGAGTCACGTGGTCTGCGAACGACACGCACCACTGCTGGAACGTGCCGTGACAGGTCAAACCGTGTACGCCGGCCTCACCACAGGTGGTCTCGTAGCCTTTACGACAATCCTCACAGCCGAGACAGGTGTGAGCAAGCCATTTGACTCCCACAGCGTCACCCACTTTGAGCTTCGTCTTGGTGTTCGCACCGACAGCAGCGACGTATCCGACACCTTCGTGGCCGCCGATCATTGGGAACTGCTTGGGCAGAGGAGGACCTTCGCCTTCCCAGACCGACAGATCCGAGTGACACACGCCCGTGTACGCAATACGGACGAGAACCTCACCCGATTTAAGATCCTCCGGCTGTACGACAGGCCAGTCCTCGCGCACCTGGAGCGGCGCGTTGTCCGCCTCATACATGACGGCGGTCTGCGTCTTGGGGATGTCGTAGCTTGTCTGGGACTTCACTGAAAACGATCGAACGGCTTGACGCCCGCAGTTCGCGCATCCGCATTGCACGCCGTGACCTGAAAATACTCCGACAAACGACTTGCTAGCAAATTGGGCAGCGCGTCTGGATGGTTTTGCGAAGCGGGTGACGGCGCGCAGCATTTCGTCTTGCTTGTGCTGCTGATGGCGATTTCGACAATGACGCTCCCCTGCCGGCGGTCACGAACGGGGAGCCAGCAATTGTTGACGTCCGCACTCATCACTACCGCAGGATACCGGCTCGAGTACCAGTGCAGAGTGTGGGGCAGCTCGTGCGTGGCAGCGGGTATGGATCACCGGATTTGCTCCTTCAAGCTTCATGTTGAAGCGAAATAACGCGAGGATAACGCGATGCTCGAGTTTGCCAGCAGTTATCTCCCATGTGTTGAAGCGTTCTTCAACAGCGCTTCAAGCATTTGCCATCCAGCGGCTCCGCGAGTTCAAGTGCGATGCTGCAGTGTAGTGCAGAGGCTGCCGTATCGGCTAGCAAAGCAACAGCTTTAAATGTATCCACTCTTCAACTAGTAAAAGCGACTTTTATCAAAACGTGACGACTCTCCTACTTCTCCACGCAGAGGCTTCTGGCTACGCCCACAAACACTAACATACTCAATCACTCGCAGTCCAGCACAGTGCGGCCGAACAGCGTGCCGGCTTTCATCCGCTTGAACACGTCGGGCAGGTTCGTGAGCGGCTCGACGTTATAGAACGTCTCCACCGCTCCGTCGGCAGCGATGTTCACCGTTTCGATGGAGTCCTGACGGTTGCCCACGTTGGTACCAATGATGCGGTGCGCGAAGGCCACGGTCGGTTCAATCGGCACCGGCAGCAAGCCACCTTTGGGTACGCCCACCATCAGCACGGTGCCATGCGGACGAATGTACTGCAGTGCATCCTGGTACGAAGACTCAGTGTCGGCCACCACACAAGCGCAATGAGCTCCGCGTCCCGTGATCGCCTTAACCTGTCCGACCACGTCGCCGTCCTTGAAGTCGATGAAATGCTTAACACCGTAGCCCTCCAGAAGCTTACGCTTGTCGTCGCCCGAATCGATAGCAATGACTTTATAACCCATCGATCGAGCGTACTGGCAAGCCAGATGACCCAAGCCTCCACCGGCGCCGGGGATCACGACGTACTCCCCTGGAGCACCTCCAATCTCCTTAAGCGCTGAGTACACCGTCACACCGGCACACAGTAGCGGCGCAGCGGCTGCCATGTCATAGCCCTTTGGGATCGGCGTGACGTGGTCTGCGTAGGAGACGCACCACTGCTGGAATGAGCCGTCGATCGTATATCCGTGCATGATGACGCTCTCGCACGTGGTCTCGTGGCCCTTACGGCAATCTTCGCAGCCGAGACACGAGTGCGCCAGCCACTTGACGCCCACGGGGTCACCGACCTTGAGATTTGTCTTGGTGTTCTCGGCGATAGCTGCGACGTAGCCCGTGCCTTCGTGGCCGCCGACCAGCGGCATCTTCTTGCCAACAGGAGCACCTCCACCCTCCCAGATGATCACGTCCGAGTGACACACGCCGCTGTAGGCCATGCGCACCAGGATTTCGCCGGCTTGAAGGTCTTCCGGCTGCACCACCGGCCAGTCCGTGCGGACTTGAAGCGGAGCTCCTTCAGACTCATACATAATGGCCGTCTGCGTCTTGGGGATGTCGTAGTGCGGCTGCGATTGCACCGAGAAGTGGCGCCATTGATTCCTAGCGCACGAGCCGCAACGACACTGCAGGCCGTGGCAGGATGCGGATCCGACGAAGGACTTGGCCGCGACTTGCGTCACACGTCGGGACGGTTGAGCGAGACGGGAGACAACACGAAGCATGGCAATCAACACTCACACCTTAGCACTGGACTGGCAGATTGCAGAGTGAGATCGGAGAGGATTGGCCAGGTAAGTGATCCATGCTGGACCTCGCTGCCAGCGTCGAGAGAATCGACACGCGGGAAGTCACGCCAGACGAGGCCCTCGTCAGTGAGGTTCACTTCGCTGTGTTTCCTGCGCGAGAGCTTTCATCTTGCATGGTGACCGACGAGCTTCAACTTGGCGAATACAGATTGCCAGTATATTTTGCGTGGCTCTAACACGCCTCTTCCTTGGTTCATCCACAAGCACGTGATGTTCAAAGTTGCCCAACAGACCACAATGGGCCCTCGAGCTCTTCGCGCACGTTCCAACATCGTGCACAAGTAGTAAATATCCTCATTGTTCGCTTGAGGTGTACACGTCGAAAGAGTTAGAATGGATCACCCTCGGAAGAGTATTTTAAAAAAACTAACGACGAGTGATTTTCATTTGACATCTTCTGCGCAACTATATCTTCTCTAAACTCAACACTTACTCGCAGTCCAGCACAACGCGACTGCGGAGCTGGCCGGCTTTCATACGCTCGAACACGTCCGGCAGGTTCTTGAGCGGCTCCACTGTAAACGTAGTCTTGACGTGGCCCTCAACCACCATGTCCAGGGCCTCGATGGCGTCTTGGCGGCTGGCGACGTACGAGCCGATGATGCGGAACTCGAACGGGATGATCATACTAACGGGAGCAATGATAGCGGCGCCCGTGGGGACACCGACAGCAACAAGCGTGCCGTGCGGACGCAGGAACATCAGAGCATCCTTGTAAGCGGCGGTCGAGTCGGCCACGACGATAACAGCGTGACCACCGCGGCCACCTGTAGCAACGCGGACCTTCTCGATCACATCGCCCTCCTTGAAGTCGATGAAGCTCTTGATGCCGTACGACTCGATCAACTTGCGCTTGTCGTCACCCGTGTCGATAGCCACCACCTTGTAGCCCATGGCGCGGGCGTACTGGCACGCCAAGTGGCCCAGACCGCCGCCGGCTCCCGGAATCACCACGTACTCACCCGGCGAGCCGCCGATCTGCTTTAGTGCCTTGTACACCGTCATACCGGCACACAAGATCGGCGCAGCAGCAGCCAGGTCCAGACCCGATGGGATCGGAGTCACGTGGTCGGCGAACGACACGCACCACTGCTGGAATGAACCATGGCAAGTCAGGCCGTGCACGCCAGCTGAAGCGCAGGTTGTCTCGTGACCCTTACGGCAGTCCTCACAGCCCAGACAGGTGTGTGCAAGCCACTTGACACCGACAGCGTCGCCGATCTTGAGGTTGGTGCGCGTGTGCTCACCAATAGCAGCGATGTAGCCGGTACCTTCGTGGCCAGCGACCATGGGGAACGGTTTGGGGAGCGGAGGACCCTCGCCTTCCCAGACCGACAGGTCTGAGTGGCATACACCCGTGTAAGCGATGCGGATGAGAACTTCACCCGGCTTTAGATCCTGGGGTTGGACAACCGGCCAGCCCTCGCGCACCTGGAGTGGCGCGTTGTTAGCCTCGTACATGACGGCGGTCTGCGTCTTTGGGACGGTGTAGCTGTCCTGCGGCTTCATGATGGTTGCTTCGACTGTGTGTGGGGGAGCTGGCGAATTCACGACTGAATAGGGATCCGTTACACGGTCCGTGACCAACGAATGGCGCTGCACCGCATGAGCGAGTCTAAAAGAGACGTTCGGGTGTTGCCCACGTCGATCGCTTCGACAAGTGCGTGGCGTGACGCCATTGACCGTCAGGAGTCGAGGCTGGGCGCTGCGTGACGTACTGCGGTAGTGCGTCCATGCCTGGATAGGATCTGCCGATGGGCTGAAGTACCGCGCAAGGAAGGGGTCTGACTCAGACCCCTTCCTGAAGTCAGAGTCTGACTCCAGGTCAAGGCTTGAGTCAAGCTGACAGGAACCTCAGATGGTTCCTACTAGTAGTTCACTAATTCAGTCCACAAAGCGGCTTGTTTTCAAGGCAAAAGAAGCCGAAGTTTTGCAAGTCGTGCTGTTGAATATGAATATTCATATTCTCTTCATCTGCGAGATACTCGTCGTGCACCCAAAACGCTTCCGTTCCTGTTGGTGGTTGTCAGTGGGTTTGAAAAACCGGTACATGTTGACACCGCTGAGCCGAGCCAATTGGCATACATATCATCACAGCACAGGCGACGATGGAAGCCTCAAACGAGAGGAGTCTTCTCATACGCACGTCCTCAACAGGAAGGGAGCTTTCGTTTTCAAATTCATTTTCTCACTATGATTGTCGTGAGGCTCACGCACGAGAATAAGTGGTCGACAAAGGAATTCGAGCAACTCTGGATTGCCTTGACGCTAGAAGCTCGGTGAGTGATTAGAATTTTGAAAACGGACGAAGCCGACAGGTTGCAGGCAACTTTGCTGTTACATGTATTATTTATCGCCAGCTCATACCGGTTAATCAACGGTATTCCCGACGTGAGAGCACAGTGCGGATGGAAGGAAGATGACGTAAAGGCAACAGAATAGTCAACAAGGTACAGTAGATGTCCCAACATGTCTGCAGCTCTCTCTTGCAATACAGAGCTCGGAATCGCTAGCAAAGCATCGACACCGATACCCGATATCAGCTTGATATTAGAACCACACCGGCTTGATACTTAGCCCCTCGAGTTCTGAATCGGATTGCAGTTGGGTCCATATACCTGATCAAACCGGTATTCTGAAAAAAGAACCCACACAATAATCGCGATATGAAGATATTGGTAATCACAGATCCTTCTTATAACGTTACAGTACTCAATCAGCTTTGCATTCAAACGCAAAAATACATATTTTGTTGTGTTTGAAGTTTATGTTTTATAGGAGGTATCATAAAGATGAGACATTGAATGATTACGCCTCAATGCCGGTATCAGGCAAGTTCCGTTCCATCAGCACAGATCACTTCAGTTTCAGCCAGCGGAGATCAAGGTGAAGTTTGCAATGGCGAAGCTTGGCGAGGAGGACGAAGGCGAGCTGGATGTGACAGCGTTGAGAGCCGCCTTGGGGCCTGCCGCAGCAACTTCGAGCACCAGCAAGGACGAAAAAGTCACAACTACGACAGCGTCAACGACCGCGAAGCTGTTGACTCCGTTGGCGTCGGAGATTCTGATGCTGCGCGAACTGGAGCTGGCGCCCGTGATGATTTACCCAGAGCAAGTGTCACGTGCCACGGAGATCCGTCTGTTCCTTTCGCGCATTGAGTTCATCGGCATCCACGAGGTGATCGAGCGCGAGGAGGGGGCCATTTACTTCGTGTTGGACGTGTACCGATACCGCCAGCAAAAGGGACTGCCGTCGACACGCAGTAGCCGCCGCAAGCTATCGGCTGGACAGCTGGACCCGCACAAGTGGTTGGCAGACCGCGAACCGGAGGACAGGGGCCCGGACTACCAGATTGAGCAGCGATATTCGAGCTTCGCAAGACTCCGCTCGAACGTGGCGCACATTGCGCGCAAACACCACCCCAAGCGTAAGACATGCGCGTATTGCAGTAGCCTGCTGGATTTCCTGCATGTGACGCCGTGCAAACCTAGTCTCAAGGTCAAGTTCACGACCACCACCGAGGAGCGGAAGTATATTCTGAGCTCCTTTATCAACGAGTTGGTCTACATGGCACGCGAGGGCTACACGTGCTGCCCGAGGTCTCTGCGTGGCTACCACATTATCCCGGCCCTGGTCAAGCGCTTCTTGTCGGAACAGACTGGCGAGTCGTTCTTCAGCTGAGAACGGGACGATGGAATGATAGGCAAGCTTTGCAGTCGAGTGGCACGAGGGTGTGGATTATAAAGGAGCCTCCTACAGGTTTTGATATTTAACAGACAAACATTGTGCGCATTATTTGATGGTCATCTAGCCTGGGAATTTATTTCTTCCTTAGCTTTGGTGCACTGATCATCTTGCCAGGCACGCCATTTTTCGCACCCACGTAACAGCATCACGTCCGTTATGTGGTCCACACTTTTAATGGGAAGGATAGAAATGCGTTTCTAATGGATTTTGCACCCAATTTTGGGCAAATTACAGATATCGAGACGGCGGTATGCATATCAGCATACCGCCGTCTGATTGGCTACAGACCGGCTACCGACTCGAAGCTCTTGACGTTTCCATGTGCACTGATAGATTTCACTGATCGGACCGATGGCCATCCCTGGCGCCGACGGTAGCCGCAAGCGCGCGGCACCACGCTCCCCGCGCAATAACAGCTACGGCACTGGCGTATTCTGCGAGTCCAAGCGTCCAAGCGACGAAAACGCGGCGGCTGAAGACCCAGAGGAGGAAGCCAAGGACAGCGACGTGTTCCTTCGGAGAGGAGCGCGCCAGCTCCAAACTCAAACGCTACGCTTGCGTCGCAACGTGGCTTGCACCTTTGTGGTGGGCGTGGGTATCATCATACTACTGCTCGTGTCCTACGTACACAAGGAGCGAAACCAGAGTCTGCGTACGGCTACGGGGCTTGCTTCCCCTCGTCTGGAGCTGCTGAACCAGGTGCTGGAGCAACTTCCGGAGCTACCGACTCTCGAGACGAGAGCGTCAGTCAATGGAGAGCTCAACACGACCATCACTGTAGCTGAGAAGCTCGTGGATAACGGGCCTATCGCTTTCTACACACGCGCGTACGAGGACAGCGTTCCTGGTCCGATGCTGGTCTTGAAACCAGGCGACGTATTGAACATCCACCTGGTCAACAACTTAGCACCTAACGTGGCTGGAGAGTGGACACCCAACACAATGCACGAGCCCAACAACACTAATCTTCACTTCCACGGGATGCACGTGGACCCCACAGGAACCGAAGACAACGTGTTCCGAATTGTGGCCCCTGGGGAGAGCGCAGACACCCACCTGCACGTGCCATTGAACCATCCGAGAGGTCTATTCCACTACCACCCGCACTTCCACGGCTCTGTATTCCTGCAAATGGGCGGAGGGATGGTGGGCCCTATTGTCGTGGAAGATGACCCGACGACTGTGCCGGCAGAGTACGCGGCTATTAAGCAGCGACATGTTCTGGTACTTCAGGAATTCAAGTTCACTGGAGGCATAATGACGTCGCTGGTGGAAGCGTCCAAGGCGTCGCGCAGTACACTGGACATGCAGCTCATGTACACGGGCAAAGCCAAGCTGGACGCACAGGTGCGCAAGCTCTACCCGGACGTACAGGAGACTGAGCGTCCCATTAGAAATGCCAAGTTATCCAAGGAACTACTGCAAGAAATGGACTCGTCCGAGGAGAAACCTCAGATCCCGCCTATCGCCCAGTATTTCTCCGTCAATGGAGAGTATATGCCGAAGATCCAAGTGCGTCCGCACGAAAACGTCCTACTCCGAATATTACATGCTGGCGGTGTCGCCTCATTAGAAGTGCAGGTGCCCGGCTGCTCCATTATGTTGGCTGCCAGTGACGGTCTTTACATGCCGAAGCCACGCCCAATGAAGACGGTGATCCTCTTGCCTGGTGCTCGAGTTGACGTCGTTTTAAACTGCGAGCCTTCCGCAGAGAACGGCCCTGAGATGCTACGCCCGATTCAATCTGTCAAGGACCCAAAACTGCACGGATTTATGGGCAACCACTCGGATCTTTACTCGGGTGTCTTGGCTTTCATTCACGTTCAAGGCGAGTCACTAGATGAGCCCGTTATCACAGCTGTGCCTCCTCCCTCAGAGCTCTATGGACCTTCCACAAGTCTACTTGACCTGTCAGCGGAAGACCGTGCCGCGATGGATCCGCTCCCGTTTGAGTTCGAGTTTACAATGGGAGACCCGGAGATGAAGGACGGATTCTACTACAAACCGTACTACATCAACCACGCACTATTCGACGGCAGTAGCATCCGAACGATGCCCCTCGGTCGGGTACAGGAGTGGGTCATCATTAACAAAAGAGACGAGAGCGGCGAAGTGACACTCAAGAACCACCCGTTCCACTTGCACACGAACGCTTTCCAGATTGTGGACATGAGTCACGGCCACGGCGTCGACTACGAGATCGGCGACTGGCGCGACGTCATCTCCGTCCCCACTCCCGGTAACGTGACCATCCGGTTCCGACCGGAAGACTATACCGGTATTGTGGCGGCACACTGTCATATTCTCGGTCACTCTGACGCTGGTATGATCGCTGGTGTGGAAATGATATCTGGGGACTAGAAAAAATCATAAGGTATGCAATTGAAATGTTAAGAAAAAAAAAAGTTTTGCACTGTCATCGTTCTCTACGCTACTGTGCGTTGAGTTCGTCTTGGATCTCGTCCACAGTCTTGCCCTTCGTCTCTGGCACGTATTTGAATGAAAATACAAGCGCCAAGCCCAGTAGAAAGGCAAATGGAACGAAGATGTAGTCGCCCAGAGCTCCCTGCATAGTCGGGAAGAAGATACCAATGATGAATAATCCCAACCAGTTGACCATCGTGGCGATCGAAGTAGCCGTTGTACGCGACTTGGCAGGGAACATCTCGGCCGCAATCAGCCATGGGATTGGACCTAGTCCGATCTCAAAGAACCACACGAAACTCATGACGCCGCCCACGCTGAAGAGACTTCCGAATGGCAGTAAATCCAGCAGCCCGACAGTCAAAATTCCACTCGACACGAGCATTCCCATGGTAGACCACAATAACAGTGGACGGCGTCCAGCCGAGTCCATTAGCATAAGCGCAACAACCGTCGCCAATACATTTACAATGTAAACCAGCGTGATCCCAACCAGTGGGTTCTCCAGCCCAGCATTCTGGAAGAACGAGCTCGCGTAGAACATGACAGCGTTGATACCGCTCAACTGCTGAGCGCACTGCAGCACCACAGCGACCAGAAGAGGCAAACGGATACTCTTATCACGTAAAACTTCTCCCACGCCCTGGACATCGCCAGATTCGCTGAAACTGGCAGCAGAAATACTGTCGATCTCATCGAACACGTCGTCAGTCTGACGCAGACGACGCAAAGTGTGCTCAGCTTCTTTTTCTTCGCCATTGTTCAACAACCAACGTGGACTTTCAATCAGTAGTGGGGTCAATAGAATTTGAAAGACTCCAAGGATCCCAGCGAACCCAAACATGAGGCGCCATCCCGGGTGTGTGAGGCTTTGACTCTCTCCAGCAAAGCCGAAAGCCAGGATATCTGTGGCCAAAATACCAATCACCATTGCCAATTGGTACGTTGTTCCAAGGGCTCCACGGAGATTGGGTGGCGCCAGTTCGCCGAGATACAGCGGGACCACAACTGTCGCTGTGCCCGACGCGATTCCAACGAGGAATCGACCGATAATCAGCATGTACATGTTGATTGCAAAAGCCATGACAACGCCGGATACGAGGAAGAGGCAGGAGTTGGCGAGCATCGTCCTCTTGCGACCGAGTTGGCCGCTCAATTGGCCTCCAGCGAGGGAGCCGATAGGTCCGCCGACTGCGAAACTTGAGACACACAGAGCCCACAGCATGTCCGAGTGGCCAGGAAACACCACGGCGGGGTTCATTGCGCCCGTCACAGCCGTGTTGTAGCCATACTGGAAGGCGCTAACGACGGCCACCATGCAGGACAACAGCAACGGATACGTGTACCCAGGCTCCACTTCCTCCTCAAGCAACGGCTTCTGGTCCCCATGCTGGTTAACAATATGAAAAAGGTTAGTTATAGTAATTTTTTTTACTAAGGATAAAGTGTATCGCACCTTCTTGATAAGTCGAGATAGATTGGCCCAGGAGCTGCGTGGACGCAGCTGTGGGAACTCTCGTTCGCTACGGAAAGACCGGCGACGCATGCCCGGTAGTACGCGGAAGGGAAGTTCCTGGTACAGACGCTTTTGCTCTTCAACGTAGTACTTGAGGTCGTGCACAGTGCTGGCTCGGTCTTTGAGACCATCGGCCTTCTTCAGGTTCTCCCAGCTGCCCTTGGACCCCAGCTCCAGGGCGCTAACCGACGCGGCGGAAGTCAACCCCGGCATATTGCGGATTTGGTCGGAAGATCTTTTGACGAGATTCGAGCAAAATCTGAAGTGGGAGGAATCAAACACAGTGAAGTCCATAGAGAGCAGCCAGTATCTTAAGATTGTCACTTCAACTTCACACGTCGCAAATTTTGCTGTGAAACGTCGCGGAGCCTTTCGATACGAGCCGCTAGAAATTTGAGGGCGTCATTGTTGATGGAATAGGACTGGTTTAACATGTTATAGGCCAACTATAGGCAAATGTCGGTCGGATTGCATCGTCATAGTGGGCATAGATCCGATATGCTCCTTGGATCTTAAAAAGCCGTATCTGAGTTGTTCATTGTGCGGGTCAAAACTTCGCACTTGATCGTTAGATGGCAACACAACTAATTCCATAACCTCGATACAGAAGAATGTGTTCTACATGCGATTGAATAGGGCGTTACTACGAGTAGATGTTTCACCGTCCGGAGAAGGCGCTGTCGGACGTCGAGTCTGCGGGTGGGAGTGAAAATTGCAAGTTGTAGACGTCGTGGAGCACTCGTGAACTTGATCCGCTAAACTGCCTGGATAAGCTTCGCTGTAGGGTTGGCTGCCGTCCGACACTATCATCTGCAAATGGTGGCACTCCCGGTGCTCGTCCTAGTGGAGTGCTTACGTTCACGTAGACAAAATCACTTGGACCAGGTTCTGGCGCTAGGCTGGACTGGGCAAGAAGCGGCAAATGGCGGCGGTTCGATCGTGTGCCATCTTGTCGCTCCAAATCGTCAAAAGAGGTCATCGTCCGCTGAAGACTAGGATGGAAACCATCTTCAATACAATGCTCTTGCTGGATCAGCGTCACAAGCTGCACCAATTGAGCATACTCGACGCTAGTTCCTCGCAGCTCAAACAGCAGCTTTACGACACTATTAAGCCTGAACCTCGTCAACTGGAACCCGACCGAGGCCAGTACTGTGCGTAGCTTGTCAACATCGATAAACCCGGTCCTATGTAGATCGTGCGACTGTAGTGACTTGTCCAAGTCTGCGATCGAGTGTCCACTTCCCTTCAAACTTTGAAGCAGCGAAGTCGCGAACTCGGATCGCAGCTCCACGATCTCACTGAAGTGACCCACGACTTCTCCTAGAGTGCTGGCATCAATGCGAAGGATACTAGAGATCAGCACAAAGTCTCGGAAAATCGTCTTGATGAAGAACAGCCCGTTGAGGATAAATGGAACCGGGATCAAGACCACCGGTACGATGCCAACCTGGTCGTAGATCTCGTCAAAACTGTACACTGCGCCCATGACTAGTAGAGCAACGAAGAACCCATTCAAGATCGTCAGGAACATGACCACGACATGCCACGCTTTCCTCGAATAAAAGGGCAGACGAATCTCCGGCGTTCCAGAGACCACGCCATCTTGTCGAGGTGCGGAGCGCTTTTTGCAGCACATGACGCGAAAGACGTTCCGAAAGAACGTAGCAACGAGCTGAAATCCTTCGTCTCCCATGAGTAAACCTCGTCGTTGCGCCTTGCGTTCGTGCTCCATTTCTTCATGTTGAGCCTGGATTCGGTTCATCATGTCTAACGCGCTCTCTGCAGCTTCATTGTGCCACGCATTGGCCTCTTCGTCAGCGACGGTATTGAGACTGTCCGCCAGGGCACGTTTGTCCTTATTGTACCCGGCAATGGCCAACAACCGATGCACGCAGAAACGGAAGTAGAGCATCACTAGGATGTGAAACAGCACCAAAACCCAAGCAAACGCCATGAGCGTTTCAATGAGTTCGTAGCGCACCTCCACGTCATAGTCTTCGAGGATTTGGACGACGGCGGAGAACGCCCATGCCATTCCGAGCAGTAACAGCCACATTGATGGCTCGACTTCTATCATGTGCACAATGTTGTTCGCCTGTGCACGTCGAAGATACTTGGAAAAGGGGAAGAGCTGGGGGAGACCGAATCGACGAAGGAAGAGATGCCGCAGTAGTCGGTGCTTCACGACGTCCTTCTTGAACAAATTCTCCTTTGATGGTTTATCTAAACCGTCGACTAAGTCTTGGGTTGTGATGAGCTCAGCTCGATCCGTTCGCTTGTTGTAGCCACGCAAAAGTAGCAACACGTTGATAGCTTGCAGGACGAGAGTGATCGCCAGGATGAAGATGATGAGGTCAGACACTTGGAGCGCCAACATGATGCCGCTGTAGCCGTCGATACCTCCCACTTCGGTCAGTATTTTGATGATGAAGCTGATTAGTCCCAGGATCATCAGCTCACGATACACTTTTTTAAGCATGTGCTGGTACTTGTCATTGTGCGCCAGTA